GGTACCACAGTTAGATATAGCCAGTTTGATGTTGAAGGCTTACGAAAAAGTGTTAGAGTAACAAATTACCAAGGAAGAACATGTTCTAGAAGTTAATTTCACTAATTCCCTTTCATATATCACTGCTTGTACACCACAACACAACACCAGAGCATTGATTTGTGCACGATGCAGTAAAATCTAAAGCAGACACAAAGTGTAATGTAAAGGGGCTATGGAGAACCATTTCTGGATTCCTAATCCAGAATTGATTAATCCAACTTTACTGTCACTAATCCACCAAACCATGTAGAAGCGTCAATTTTTATATTTTTTATTGATTCATTAGTTTTTTGTATCCTTGTCAAAAGACCATAAATAATCTCATTAAATATGATATTTTCACTTTTTAGGAACATGGAATCAAGGCTGAACTGGATCTCATCAAAGGAAGCATGAAAGTAGCAACAACACGAAGTACTTGGGATCCGTATGCTATCATAAAGGCTCGAGATATTATTAAACTACTCAGTCGGTCAGTACCTATAGAACAGGCAGTGAGGGTTCTACAGGATGGTATCACACATGAAATTATTAAGGTACGTAGCATTTATAATGTTTGTTCATAGGCTTCCGGTTTATTTATTGATTTTCTGTCATTATTTATTTTTCACATGTGAATGTTATTAGCATTTGCTGAGAAGGGAATATTGGGAAATTTAAAAATATATGTCATCAGTACTGAGAAATGATACATTGTGTAGTATCAGTAATATTTTATGTGTTGATCTAGTATCAGACTACTATAAAATGGATTCAAAGGTTAAACTCAGGATTTTCTGACCAAAAATCTATGAATTTTTTTATTGAAATGCGCTCAGACTTGGCAGATTTTCAGAAAAATTAAAAATGAATTACATTTTTCACATATATTACAAAAAACCTAAGTGGACAGATCATAGTTCATCATTTTAACTTATTGTTCAGTGTTGTCAGACCTTGTATGGAAGACTATTATGTCATTATGATCATGCTGTTCATTTTTATGGAAAGCAAAGGGATTTCATACTGCTTATAATATATATATATATATATATATATATATATATATATATATATATATATATATATATATATATATATATATATATATATATATATATATATATATATGTATTTTGTTGCTACGATTTTTTCTTTTTAAGGGTCTGTTTTTTCCATTTTTATCCTTAATTCAACTTGAGCATGTAATGCTCACTCAGGAAGAGTTAACTATTAACTTTCTTAAACCTCACAGTTCAGAAGTTTACTCAGTGACATTACAAAAAAAAGAATTATGAATTCTTTCAAGTAAAAGTTATCCTTTACTAATTACTCATTTACTGTTGTTCTTGTGTACGTGTACTGGTCGTGCTGTTGCAGAAGTCAGTAGCAAAATAGTATTTATCATCAGTACATTCATTGATGATTACAAATTATGTGTTATTTTGGGTCTAGACAGAGGCATGCACAATTTTATCATAATTTTCAAGCATGTCATATTGATCTAAAGTCGGGATGAAGTTCGTATTGATTACTTTTGTGTTCTTTATTTATGTTTTTTTAAAATAGATTATGAAATTATACATAAACAGATTATATATACACATGCATTTCAATAAAGGAAATGTCGTTTCAAACACATTTAACCCATTGGGCCCAGATGCCTCATGGCCTTCACATGGACCATTATCCAGGCAATAGACTTGCTTGAGTGGTGACTCAGGTGTGTGGCTTGTAGGCCCACACGAATACTTTTGTGCAGTATCAAGACTCTTTGGCTCTCTTTTGAATTGTTATTATCTCCCTTTTTGCAAGGTCTGTATTGGTCATATGATTTATGTGTCAAGATGGTGACAGAATGTTGACAGTTCGTGGACCACATATTATCTCTACATATAGTCTACATTTCTGTGGAATTACAAAGGCTATTATTAACATTGTGTTATTTGTGTAGTTTTTAAAGATATTTTCTTATTAAATTTTCTGGAATGCTCCCTTCACTGCTGGTCACACTAGGCAGGAGTAAGATCCTGAGAATGGGAATAATGTCCTCCCTTGAGCCAGCACACTTCCAGCCATGGCTCACAGATGGTATATTCCCCCTTGTTTACTGGAGGAAATAATGCAGGAATCCTTTCTTAAATACCCACTGCGTCTAACCTTCCTGCAAGAGCTTTGTGCACTCGTGACTAATTCCCATCACCTACCTTTCGCCAAATTTTTCATGACACATTCCCATTACTTCAGCCGGCAGGCAATTTTTCCATGAAAGGCACCGCACCCTCAGCCTGATTTTTAAAAAATGATGTGACTGTCATGTCACTTGGATCCAACTTGTTAATGTGTTTACTTGCTTACTGAACCTTCAGGGATCAATCACTATAGGTTTATATATAAAACTCATCTGAATCTTAGTTAGTGTCAAAAAAGATTATACAAGAATTATATACATGTAGGCAGTGTACATTAATATGCTAAAATTAACCTACACATATTATATTTGCCCTGCAGAGATGGTTGCTTCATTATTCTGTTCTCTGATTAGGAGGTATAGAGTAATATCATTAAGAATGTATAGATTTTATGTTTTTTCATTGATATATGCTATTGTTTTATTTACTCCATTATTAAAGAGAATTATTTATTTATTTATATATTTTTGTTTTATTTTTTACTCCTAGAAAAGTAACAAGTTTGCTTTTACTTCTTTGTATTTGTATTAAAATGAATAATTTGCTGAATTTCCACAATATTGTGTAGTTTTTATGGCATTTCCCAGTATTTCCAATTTCTGATTTGGTGGGACATTATTGCCCAATCCTTTTATCTTTTATTATAGTAGTGCCTTTGTTAATGAGCTTATCTTTTAAATAATCTTACAGATTGGTGGCATGATTCGCAACAAAGAGAGATTCATAAAGCGCAGGCAGAGACTGATTGGTTCAAACGGAACGACGCTAAAAGCATTAGAATTGTTAACTGATTGCTATGTGCTCGTTCAGGGACAAACTGTGTCAACCATTGGTCCATATAAAGGAGTACTTGAGGTTTGTTTCTATTCTTGATTTGTTTTTTTGATAATTCTGATTTATTTCTTAATCAAATAAATGTGTAACATAACTCATTGCATTAAAACAATTTTAGAGTAAATGATTAGAATTCCTTTCTCTTTTCAGGATTACATAATTTACTAAGATAAATAACAGTCTCACTATTGATAAGGCAGATCATGAGTAATATAAGAGAATAAGTTTTAACACACCAGTTACAGATGGGATGATAACTTGCCATGTATACTGTAATTCTACCTTATCAATTGTGTTTACCCATAGATGGCTCCACAAGTGCTTATTCACAAAGGAGTCTGTTATTAGTTATACCTGTCTCACCTGTTTTTTTCTATGATTTATAGAAAAGATTTTTTTATTTATTGTTTTTGATATTTTAGTAACATTATATTTAATAATTTTAATGTCAACAGTAACATCAGTATTAATATTAATAGCATTAGGAAAAACATTTTTCCAGAAAATTCAAGGAAAGTGGAAATCAGGTGCAGTCATGTAGGACCTAATATACTTCTTGGTGGATGAGCATTTACGGAACCAACTTTGTGCAACAAAACTCCTAAAAAACTACATTAGACAGTATATGAACCCACGAACAATGGGTTTTAAAAAGGTTGATTTTTTTTTTCCAGGTTGTGCGATTTGTGACAGACACCATGAACAACATTCATCCAGTGTACCTCCTCAAGTCTCTCATGATCAAAAGACATCTGGCTAGCAGTCCAGACAAAAAGGTCAGATCATATGTCATATTATGGGAATTTCGTAGACATTATGATTGTACTTACATATACCTGTATAGACGAATGTAAACATATGTGGACAAACAAAGTGAATATAAGGGGGACATTTATTGTCTTATTAATGTGGATGTGTTTAATTTTTTTCCTTCTTTTCTTTTCATGATGAACTTTGTAATTTAATTTAAATAGCTTATTTACACTATTTGTTCACAGAATGAAGACTGGTCCAGATTCTTGCCGAAATTCAAGAGCAAAAACGTACAAAGGAAGAAGCCAAAGGTGAAGAAGGACAAGAAACCCTACACCCCATTCCCCCCAGAACCCCAGGAGAGGAAGATCGACAAGGAACTGGCAGAGGGCAAGTATTTCGTGGACCAGGAAGAGCGTAATGCCGCAAAGAGGAAGAGACCCAACGAGGAGAAGAAGAAGGCGGTGGCCGAGAAGCAGAAGGAGAAAAGAGCAAAATCCTTTGTACCACCCGAAGAACCACAGCACAAGGCAGACAAACCAAAGCAAGGCAGTGCAAATGTTGATATTGATGCATTGAAAAAGAAAGTCAAGAAGAGAAAAGTTACAAGTTAAGATTTGTGTTTCTTTTTCTTCTTTTTTTTATTCTGGAAAAGATGAATGTTAGGTTATTCGGGTTATTCACTCCATTTAACATAGGACTAGTAAATTGGAAGTGAATTACTGAACTCCCACAGACTATTGTATTGCAGAGCTTGATGAATGGGACCTAAATATATTTCCAAATTATTTTTGTTTCTAATTACCTTTCCCTGATATCAAGCAAATATATTTAGTAGAGTAAGGATTCTAGATTGACAATTTTATAATCCTCTTCTCAATAGAAAGCTTATTATTGTTTCATTTTTGTGTTCATATCAAATTACATGGTAATTTATATCATCGTACTAGTAGAATAGTACATATTATGTCCAACATTTTTTTTAATATAAAGAAAATAATTGTTGAGTTCTTTTTGATTTATTTATTTCTATGTAGAGGCTTAGATTTTACATTATGCTAATGATGAAGAAAATACCCAAGTTTTTGTGGCTACTTTACATAGATATTCCAGTGTTCTATTTTCATTTACTACTGAATGTTGTTGAATACAAACTACAAAATACATCAACTACATTGTAAATATATATAAAAACTCAAACTTCTTTCTTCCTATTTTATGCCTTCTTTTGGATTTACTGTTCTAAATCTCTGATGTAGAGTTATATTTTTTCTATGTTTCATTTGCCAGTAACATTAACATTATGATAAATATTATTGTGGTCATGTTAATGACAGTGATAATTGTCATATATATAAACACTAGGAAAAAAATCAAGGCATGGGGATTCCTTGATGGCACAGCAGTTATTGAGTTGTAGAGGATAATAGTAAAGAAAGAAAAAATAGTAGAAAGTGCATGTAAATTTACAGTCCTGGCATCAACAGGTTAATACCGTTTACTTGCCTCTGTTAGAATATTGACAAATGCGCTAACACTACTATCTCTGACAGTAAATATCTGGTGTTACAAGTGGTATTTGTGTCTCTTCTTTTTTTTAAGTGAAGTGATCTTTTCTTGTTAATTCCTACAATGCTGCAGTGAGATGTGTATTTATTACAGCACAACTCGTCAAGAAGGTTTACTAAGCAAAGAATCATTTGAGGACTGTACAAATAAATTTATATAGTCTCCCCCATTACTTTCTCCTTTTACTCTTTATGTGCACTGTAGTTCTTTAAGTAACAGGCTATAGTAAACTGCTTATCCATTTGGTGGGTTTAAAATAACAATAATGAGCATTTTGAAAATAATGGCCAGTATTCTTTTAATCCCTTAGGAATAGCTAAAAGCTCTGTTTAGTTTTTTTTTCTATTCTTTTGCGAGTATCTCAGTCAAAAAGTTACATATCTAATGAGTTGAGATAGGACCATTTTGGATGGGTAATCTAACTCACCACCGTAAGAGGACACAGACTTCGATTCTGGCTTCTTTAGTCATTTATGTAGTGGGGGATCCTTTGACCACTAAATATTACTGTTGTGACTGAACCTAGTAATATCTAACAAGCTTTGTATTTTAGGTCAAAGGTATTAATAACATAAACTGATTTCACTACATCTCATGGCAGAAATTTTCTCTATCCGAAAAGGAGCAAAATAATATTGTATACAACATATTTTCAGTGGTCAAGTACGTAAGGATCAGGTATATCTGAGGTGACCAGATGAAAATGTTTTGTTGGGGAGCAGTGTGACTTGTGGAAAGTAAGATATATGAAGCCACTTAAGCAATTTTCCCTTTACAAATATCTCTAAAAGGATTCCTTATAAGAACTAAAACTGAGCACACAAGGATAGGCTTTACAATTGTATGACCTTTAAACTTGCTTATTATATGATGGATTTCAAATCCTTAAATTACTAAATATTTGATATGGAGAAAACAAAAGGTACTTCTAAATAAAGAACCATTGCTGTTTCTCGTAAGACTAGCTCTGGAGTGTGTCTTTAGAATATTTTTTGATGTATAAAGTAATAATGAACCAGTTGCACAAACGAGCGCAGAGTTTATTGCCAAAATTAAGTATTACAAATATATTATATGTTGTGCGAATGAGTCACACACCTGAGTAGCTGATAGCAATTTCACTTGAACAAACCTTCAACAACTCACGCTAACATTCTTAGTAATGAGATGCATGAGGTAAGAGGGAGTAAACACTGCACATATAGTGTTTATGGGGAAAAGTAAAACTATATGCTATTCTAGAAACGTCCTTTGCTGATCATGTGCGTGATATTTTTAGTTTTTGAAGTACTTCAATCTGACATCAAGAAATTACACGCGCGCATACACACGCAAGCACACACAAACACACATACATACACACAGGCGCACGCACACACACACACACACACACACACACACACACACACACACACACACACACACACACACACACACACACACACACACACACACACACACACACACACACACAGAGGCTATGTATATCTAGAGATCCATATGTTCATCGTGCATCGTATCATTCTTTAATATACTAACACTGCTGTTAGACTCTGGCTTGTATAAAAAGAGTTTCAAGTGTGACTTCTCTCTTTTAATTGCATCATTAGAATTATATTATTCAAATGATTATATTACCAAGGTCTCATTCTTGAAAATTCTCAATACGCTCTTATCATTAATAGCCATTAAATAATTCAGTATTTCTGAATCAAGATAACGCCCATTATATATTTGCTGTAACCTATATATATATATAACCTATATGAATTTCATTATTATTACTACTATTATCATTATCGTTATGATGATAATTATGATAATTGTGATGATGATGATAATGATGTTAGCAATGGTGATGATGATGTTAATGATGGTGATGGTAATTTTGATGATGAGGAGGAGGATTATAATAATCACACTAATGTTGAAAATGATAGATAATGTTAATAATAATAATATTAATAAAACGGTGTTGATCATTGTAATGGTACTGATAACGATGATAATGATATAAATAATGATGAGAAATAATAATAATCATAATATCACTGATAATTACAATCATTACTGTCTTCAATATTATTATTTATTATTTTTATTATCATCATTATTATCATTACTGTTATTA